AAAAAAAAAAAAACGAAGAGCAGAGAAAATTACTTCTGTATATGGCATGTTCTAGAAGTTAATTAAAGTAAGTGGGAGATGAGATTCCAGGATTCTATTTCTGTCTGTGTCTCTGATTTATGGTTTTGAAAAGACATCATACCTCCCTGCCTGTCAATTCTCTCTACCATTAAATACAGTGAGAAGGACAAAGCCACTTCTCAAAGGTGTTGTGATGTTTAATTCAGCTTATGGTTGTCCAGTGAAAGATCCTATCATTAACCTTCTTTATCTTCTTCAAGCGGTGATCATAATTTTTACAAAGCAAATGGACCCAGTTACTCAGCTCTATACTATGACTTCATCCCTGGAGTACAAGACGACTAAGGCTGATATACAAGTGCCATTCACTTGCTCGGTGACGTATTATGGACCAACTGGACAGAAAACAGTTCATTCTGAACAAGCCGTCTTTGATATTTACTGTAAGTAACTTGATATCTAATCATGTAATTTAATGTATTGGAAATAATATTCAAATGCTAATAATCTTGAAAGTCCCAATGCAATTGCTCTTTGAATTCTGCTTCCAACCCCAACCCCGTATCCATGGCACCAAATAATCATTACTTCCTTGTGAAACCTATAGAATAAATGCTTGTTCATCTTATAAGATCTTTCATTTTCTGATTTATGAGCATCTCTTTTGTATTCTGCTAGATGTTAAGTTCCTTAAAGATAAAATATTTAACTTGGTCAGTTCCTTCTGGTAGTCTCAGCCCTGGCACACTGCCATGCATATTTTAAAAACTCAAAGTACCTTCCGATCACTTTCTGAATGACTAATAGACAAATATGACTTATGACTGACTGGCTTTCTAAATAAGGGATTACTGTTTTAATGAAGAGATTTATTTAAATAATGAGATCAATTTCCTGACTTAGAATGTTGTACTCAAAGCTGCTGTTGTTAGCTACAGCATAGATTTGAAACAAAATATTAGAATGCAAAGGAATCTCTGTGGTCACCTGTTCTAACGCCATTGTTTACTTAGCATTAAAGTGAGGCCCAATGACTCGCCCTAAACGAGCTATAGAAATGGGAACAGCAGCTTCTCCATTGTGCTGTTCTTCCTTGTAAGACAGCTGCCAAAATAACCCAACGATGAGAAACAAAGATGCTGGTGCTCCAGGCTCAGTGCTGTCAATTACTATGTTTGCTTTAAAAGTAGCTTAATTAACACTAGATCTCAATTTTCTTATGTTGAATGAAAAAATATAATATCCA